ACTGAAGCCAGGAGACTGATGGATATGTCTGTGGGCAAGGTTAAAGAAAGAACAAGAATGGGTTGCTCAACCTTAAGAGATGCCTGTATGTATAGGGTTGGAGGAGATAGAAAGCTACTTGGAAGACATAATCAGAAAGGTAGCAGGATAATTTGGTCTCTAAGTATATTTTTGAGGTGAGTCTTGGACATGCATTGGACTTGATGGCCTGTCAGATAATTTTCTGCTCTGAGAATCTGTGCAATGTCTCTGCTATTAAAAGGGGAAGCAGGGCAGGAGCACACTCAAATGGTTCATTAAGATAAAAAAGGATGAGAACAGAGAGAAGACTGCTGGATTTGCTAATTAGGTGATTAGTTACCTTTGGGAATGCAGTTTCAGTAGAATGGAAAATTCAAAATCCAGAATGCAGATGGTGAAAGAAAGTACGAATGATGAGAAATTAAAGCCCACGTGTCATAGTGAGAGACATCATGTGACATTTTACATTGCATAGTCAAAAAGAGAATCAGGAAGACCTGTGTTCGAATCATGACTCAAATATTACCTGTGTGACAAGCGGCAAGTTAACCAACCTCTTTATGCCTCAGCTTCCTCATCAGGTAAATGAATAAATAAAGCATTTATAAAGTGTTTACTGTGTTAAAACACTGTGATAGTTCCAGGGATATAGACAGAAAAGTAAAACATCTCCTGCTCTCAGGAAGCTGAAGGGGATGGCCTAGAAGGCTTCCTTCCAGCTCTGAATCTATGATCTTGTGGTAATGACCAGATACTGACCAGATGTGTTAGAAATTTGGTAGTAGAACAACCAGAAATAGGATGGTAGTGGAATGTTCAACAAATTCAGGCATTTTGTTTAGTTTTGTTTTTCTCCTAAGGTAGTGAAAGTGTGGGCATGTTTGAAGGTCCGTGGGTTATTGATTTTTAATGGATTATTATGATCCATCAGACAACTCAAAATAAAATCCCATGAGCTTTTTTACCTAAATAACAAGTTTCACTAATCACAGTTTAGGAAAAACTTCTCCAGGATTTACATCTCAAATTTAAATTTGTTCTGTTGTAAAAAGCCAATCATTAGAGATTTCTATACACTTGCAAATTCTCAGTGAGCCATAACCCAAGCAAGCTTTTTGGCTAGTTTACACATTAAAACAATAACCAACAATAGCCAAATTATTTTAGTGGTAACCAAATTATGAAAAGTTGCTTGACATAATAGATAGAAAAAGTTCACCAATTTGAAACTTGAAACACACCAATTACCAATCAGGTGACTTCAATTTTGTTAAATGCATTTCCAGATTACTTTACACAGAGAAGCAACATCTCATTTGTTTTTGTTTTTTTGTTTTTTATAGGCAGTTGGGGTTAAGTGACTTGCCCAGGGTCACACAGCTAGCAACATCTCATTAACAGTTAAAACTACAACTTTAGAAGATCATGCTTACCCAAGTCTGGAGGCTAGCTTCTTTACCTTGAGCAGCTTGTGCTGAACCTGGGTGATGCTTTCAGGCAAAGGTTGCCCCAAGACCCAAGGCCATTGCCAGTGGGGCCCTTACTGTAGCTGCTGCCCCTCCCTCTTTCTTCTTTTCCCAGGTGGGGGAGGTGAAATCAAAGATGAGGAGTAACAGGTGAAACTCTCTTCTTTTATGAGAGGGGTTAACAGATACCCTCTTGACTCAAGGGAAAGGAGTGGAAGAAAGAAGTGATCAGGGTTGTAAGGAGGAGTTTCAAAACTCCTTAATGATCAATCACAAAACTCCAGAATCTGCCAAGATGTTTTTAGCTGTTCTGACTTTTCCCTGTAACCTCCATGAAGGAGGATTCAGGGTTGTAGAGGGAATGGAATAAGCCTCAGGGAATCAAAAAGCAACTGCAGTTTTCACAATTCTCTAGGGCAGATAGAATTGTCAGAATTGGGCATACACTTCCAGATAGGGTGTTGATCCTTGTCCTCTATGCTGTGGAAGGTGTACCCAGGTCCATGGCCTTGAACTGACCCAGTGGACTAAAAGCCTGAGAGCCTCAGGCCAAATATGAGATAGCTTCGTAACTGTCTGCCTGAAAAGCACCTCCAAGCCTTGGTGCTTGGAGAGCAACCCTAACTGCAGAGCAAGAAAGGATGGGGGGGGGGGCTTACATACCTTCCAGTCTTGACTGGAGAAAAACTTGGGATTAGGTGGTGTCCCCATACAGGCCACCAAAATGTTGAGGTTTAGGAGTTCAGGGATGCTGGGACCCCAAAATCACAACACGGTGTCCTGTGCGAAAGAATTTGACCCAAGCCTTCTTTCAGCCAAAGACAAGGCTTATTAAAACATACGTCATATTGGACAGACTCTTAAGGAGTCGGAATGTTAGTGAGCAAATTGGCTAGATCATAAGATTCTAAACAGTGGCTAGATTTTAAGAATCTAAGCCCATAACAAGTTATTGTGACAAGCAGTCATAACAAATCTATCCTACCACTGATATTAAACTATGTCATTTCCTCAGCCATATATTCATGCAAGTTGTGAAATATGAGGAAAATACTTAATATGGTCTCAATTACTAAGTTAATCTTATGGTGAGTAAGACTATGAATAACAGTGCCTGTTAAGAAAAGAAAATACCACTTCAGGTGCTTCAAGAGGATACATTATGGTCACTGTGCACACTTCATACTTTAGACTTATGAATTCATCAATGTAGATAGCTCCCACTATAGAAATTTCTTCAGCAAAGATTAGCAACTCCTTTTGCCTGGAGTCTGTGAGATTACACATTTATTAAATGCCTACTTTGGGTCTAGCTAGGCTCTGGGGATAGAAATATAAATAAATTGTCCATTTTCATACATCTAATATATGTCAAAGGCAAAACTTGAACCCAGCTCTTTCTAAGTATATGCTGACTGTCTATCTAATACATTACTGTATCTCATGCTTAACTTTTTACCTAATATTTTTTATGTTTCCAATTTAATCATAAAAAAGTCAAGGCAGAGTAGATAGATCTGGCCTCAGAGCCAGAAAAATCTAGGTTCAAGTCTTTCCTATACAAGTCATTTAACTTTTCAGTGCTTTAGTGCAACTATCTTAGTAGTTTAAGGTACTAACCTGCTCTGGTAGAGAGGTAAACCTCATCTTGACATTCCAGTGAATCATAGGTATAATCCATTTTTTTCCCCATAATTTAATCATCAAATCATAAGTTCAGAAGAAATAGCAAGAGGTCACCGCATGATTTCCTCCTGATTTCAGGAAGAAATATTTTCTAACCATGGCAAACTGCATGGGTTTCAAGAAGTACTTTCCACCATCTAGTCCAATGTCTAGTCCAAATGCCTCCTGCTTTAATGGAAGCCTATTTCCTGAAATGCTATCACTGCTTCCATAAAACAGATTTCCTGAAATTTCCTGCCTCATTGACTAGATTGTACAGTTAGAGGCTTCATCTCTCTGTTTGTATAAGACATTCCTGTGGAGAGATACTGCCAAGCTGAAAATATAGTAAACATTGGAGGCTTATTTTTTCCCTGCTGAAACTCCAGAGGCAGCAGTCTTATCTCTAAGACTCTAATGCAGGCAAATTAATCTGATTTACATGTCATCTAAATGAAGAGTAGATTCAGATAGCTCTGAATCATACTTAAATTAGAGTTTGCATTTTAGGTTGTTGTCTAAATGAAGACAGTTCATTATACACAAAGTAACTTAAAAATTTTATATCTAACTGGAGAGTATCTACATTTTAAAAAGAGAAAAAGTGTGTATGTGTGTGTATGTTAGAATGAAATGCTTTTTAAGCAATAACTATAATGTTAATATAATCAGACAAGCAGCATGGTATAATGTATATAGAGAACTAGTCTAGAAGTTGGACAAACCTAATTCAAGCCTAGACTCTGGTAAATACTGGCAATATGATTCAGGCCAAGTCACCTAACTTCTTAATGGCCTCAGACAATTCTCTAAGGGTAAACATTGTTGAGTACATACTGACTTGAATTGGTAGAGTGAGTTTCATCACTGGGAGATTTGCTTGCCAAATAAATCACACATCCAGTCAAAAGAAAAGAAATAACATTGTTACGATCAGTCAGTTGCCAGAGTATGTCCTTTTCACTCCACGATGATTTTGAATCCATCACTTCTGTACTGATAAAGTTACAACTTTAGTTCAGTCAGTCAACACACGTTTATTAAGTGCCTACAGTGTGCCCAGCTAGGCTCTATAACTATAAATACAAAGAATGAAACAATCTTCTAAAGAATGTTACCTTCTGTTGTTAAAGAAAACATGTTTATATTTATATATATATATGTATATGTATGTATACGTATATATGTATATGTATGTATACATATGTATATGTATGTATACATATATACATGTATACATACATACGTATATACACATATACACACACACATATACACACATATTGGGACTAGACTTGTGATACACACACACACACATATACACACATATTGGGACTAGACTTGTGATTTCATTATTACAGAGAACTGCCTGAATGAGAGAAGATCCTCTACCAAGGCATATTCAAATCTTCATTACAACTTATAGTCTTACAAAGTTGTCCAGAACACTGAGAGTTTAAGTGAGTTGGTCACAGCCACTCAGTTAGTAAGTTATCGGAGGTAGGACATGAACCCAAATCTTCCTGGTTTTGAGGCTAACTCTCTAATACAATTCTACCTCTCACAAAGTTCGTATGAGGTAGTTAATGAGAAAGGGCTCTAGCAGGTAGAGATTAAGAAAGGATACATATAGAATGCTGTGCTTAAATTTCTTCTTGAAAGAAAAGAGGTATTCTATGAAGCAGAGATGAGAGAGTGCATTCCAAGGGTAGGAAAGAGGTGAGTGGTCAGTTCAAAGTCACAGAAATGAAAGCTGTAGAAAAATAGGTTGGGGCCAGGTTGTAAAATACTTTAAAAGTCAGATAGGGAAATTTATATTTTCTCAGAGGCAGGAGGCAGTCACTGGAGTTTATTGAGTAGAGGGGTGAAATGATCTCCACTTAAAGAAGTCACTTAGGCCCCTGTATAGAGAATAAGTGGAAGTAAGGAGGGATTTGAGGCAGAGAGGCCAATGAGGAGGTCATTACAATAGTCAAAGTGAGAGGTGACTAAGGTGGTCAGTATAGAGAGAATGGGTTGGATTTAAGAGATGTTGTGGAAGTAGAAATGGCAAGACATCAACTGGGTGTATGTATATTCAGAGAGCAAGAGGTCAAAAATAGCATCAGAGCCATGACATGGGAAACTGAAGAATGGTAGTGACTGGCAGAAATAGTGAAGCTTGGAAAGAAGACACCTGTAGTTTAAGCCCTTATACCTCTTCCAGATTATTGCAGTAGTTTGATAGTTGGTATCACATCTGCTCCACAATCCATGTTCTATGCAAGAAACAAAATTATTTTTCTAAAACTCAGGTCTAACTATAACACTTCTCTCTTCATAAATTCAAGTAGTTCCCTATTTCATCCAAGATAAGATAGAAGCTTCTCTGTTTAGCTTTAAAAGACCTTCATTACTTGGCCTCAACCTACCTTTCCAGTTCTGTTATGTATTTATTTCCCTTCCTGTACTCTGTGGCCCAGCAAATAATTACTTGCTGTTCTTCAGGATTCATCCTCCATCTCTATGCCTTTTCATTGACTGTCCCTCATGACTACAAGCCACTTTCACCTGTCCTCCCTCTTAGAATGCCTTGTTTCTTTCAATACTTTCCTCATGTTGCTCCTTACATGCAAAGACTTTCTATATCCTCCCAGTTGTTACTGTCTTGCTCCCAGTTTTCTCTGTTATTTATTCTTACACTCTTATGTATATATGTGTTCTCTCCCCTCATGACATGTAAATTCAGGGGTAATTTCATTTTTTCCCTTTAAATCCCGAGTACACAGGCCAGTGCCTGACACATAGTAGGTTCATAATACAAGCTTATTGATTGATCAGTGACAATAGCTTATTGTCCTAGGTTGTTTCAGTTTACGAAATGTTTTTCATTCAACATTTCAAAACAATCGGTGAGTACAACTGATCCCCATTTTTTTAGATATGGATACTGAGATTCTAAATTATCAAATTAAGTGATTTACCTGTGAGTGACAAGGCCAACAAATGGTGATGTCAGGATGCAACAGCAGATCTTAAAAATGAAATAGGTTTCCTTCCTAAACAAGAAAGCAATAGGAATGAAAGGGAACTTTTTATGAAGTTAGGATAAGTTTCATGTCCCAGATGTCCTCCTTGTTACCAGCAGCTAAGAAATGAGCCTAAAAAGTCCTTAAAGAATTCAGGGAGGCTGAATGAAAAACATATATCTTTGTACATTATCTCCTTCTTTATTTAAGTCTGTGAAAATCTATGGGGGAATTCTGAGTGTATTTGCCAAAGACAAATCATGGTGTTAGTTTTTTTTTCAGTATTATTCAATATTATCACATAATAAAGTAGTGAGAATATTCAAAAATATTTTATATAAACTTTGGTCATTCTTAATGTGACAAAAGAAATTTAATAGATGAATCAATCTATAATGAATGTAATTTTATTTATCTGAAGAATGCTCATCAATCAGTCCCCAGAGTTTTCAAATTTGAATTTTTTACAGATAAGCATCTGATGTATTTCTCACTTTGCAACACGTCCCAAACTTGAAACTTTAAATTATGATAAAGTAAAAAGGAAAATAAAATGGCAATACTGATTGAATAATAATTCATATTTGAAATATGGGTAAATTTTACTCACCTGTTAAAAGTAGGATGCTTATTCCCGAGTAGTTTTTCTTTTTCCTGTTGTTAAATGCTGAAATAATGAACATCTGAAAATGTCAAGATATCAATAGCTACAAACATGTTTCTGTGAGGGTAAAATTAAAAACAAACAAAACAAAAAGCATTGTGCTTCTTACTGTTGCTCTTGGAGATACACATGGAATAGTGATAGTTATAGTATGCCTTGCAGAATCAGTAATAATAGACAAACATATGAGTATTCAAAATGAGATGCACTTAAGAACTGAATAGCAATACTTGTAACATAAATATTTCTTATTTTAAGAAATTAAAATAAGGAATAAAACCTTAATAAATAAATATATATATGTATATGTATGTATGTATATATATATATATATATATATATATATATATATATATATATATTTGCATATTTATAAAAGAAGTATAGCATTTCCTGAATAGAAATTGCAAAGGGGCTAGGTGGCGCAGTGGATAGAGCATGTGCCCTGAAGTCAGGAGGACCCGGGTTATAATCTGGCCTCAGACCAAACACTTGACACTTACTGGCTGTGTGGCCCTGGGCAAGTCACTTAACCCCAGTTGCCTTAAAAAGAAAAAAAAAAGAAATTTTAAGAGGCAATACTTAGACTCTTTGCACATAGGTCGTTGTGATGCTGTGTTTCTAGATTTGCATTCTTTTTTTTCCTGTTGGTTTTAGCGTAGTCAAAACAGGCCTGCTAGAAGCTGAGGAAGGTCCTTTCAAGGACTCTGTATGTATATGAGTGCCAGTGGTATTCCTTATTTGCTGTGATTTTGAGTATTAGTCATATGCACACATCTTTGTACTCTTAGTACTTCTCTTAAACATTCCTTAGTGTCTGAGAAGAGTAACATTCCTTCAGGGACTTGAAAGCAAAACTTCTTTCAATCCTTAAAAGATTCTCTCTCTCTCTCTTTCTCTTTGCCTTTATATCTATATCCCTAACACCTGGCATAGTATCTGGAATAAAGCAGATTGTTTAAAATGTTTCTTGGATTAGATTGGATTGAATCAAATTGAATTGAAATCCTTACAATGTGAAGAGCCTTGAGAAGCTAAAGATAACTTTTGTGTATATTAGTTAAACTGCAAGAGAAGTTTTATTTTCAAGTTCTTGGGGAAAGGTTTGTTTTTTTCATTTATCAAAACCCTAACGTTTTTTTTTATTGTGGTGATATGGTGATATAGTCATAAGTTTTGGTCTACCTTTATCAATGCCCCAGTGATATTTGAGATACAGTTAAGAGTGTGCCTACCGTGGTGAGTTGCTTTGAGTAAGACTTAATGGCTTGCTATTGAGCTATTCTAGGTGGATTGTTAGAGATACTAAATTTTTCATCACACAGGATTGGGTTCCAGAATATTACTCAGTTTTCCCTGTGAAAGAATGTGCATAGTGTTTGACCCACAGGATTACAGTAATTTCTATGGAACCTAACATATCTATTTTCTATACTTTATACTTTTGCAATAGTGTGTAATTAATCACCATACAGTTACTGAGTAACTAATATGTGTAAGACTCAATGGATGTAAAGTATTAAAAACCAGGGTGTATTTTTCAGTAAGTTCAAGATTAAATGGCCAAGAAAACACAACAATGGGGGTCATTACCTTAATTCATTTACTCATTTATTCACTCATTCATTCCAGAAGCAACATAGTATTGAACAATGAATGATGAAAATCTAGTTTCAACTACAGCCTCTATAATGTATTACCTTTGTGGTATGGACAAGTCACTTAATTTCTGTGTGTCCTGGCTCCTCATCTTTGAAGCAGACATAATAAAATCTGTAGTCCCTACCTTACAAGGTATGAAACTCAAATGAAATATATGCATCATAATTTGCAAACCTGAACACAGTATATAAAGTCAGTATTAGTCAAAAAACATTTCTATTGTGTGCCTTCACCATGAAAGACATTGTTCTAAGGCGTACTGGGGATTACCAAGATAAGTAAGACTTAAATAACTGGTAGATTGAAAAGAGTGCTCGACTTGGAGTCAGGTGAACCAAAAGTTCAAATACCAGTTTGGCCAAGTGGTCATTACTTGTATAGTTTTGGACAAGTCACCAAACCTCTCTGTACCATAGTGTTCTAGCCTGTTGAAAAGAGATAGTTGATCTGCATGATCTCTAATGCCCTTTTCCAGTTCTAAATCTATAATACTGTCTTCCATTCCCTGTCTCAAGAAGCTAAATGTGTAGTGCGTGTACTGATTTATACTGTTTTTATGCCCTAATTTATTAAAACTTAATTATTTCATTTATTTTTTCAATAAATATTTCTCAGATGTTTAGTGTATGCAAGAATTATGCTAGAAAATAAATTACTTGAATGAAGTGCTTTATTAAATCATTTAGTAGTGTGTTTTAAATTACCTTAACTGTTTAAAACATATTTCAAATTTTAGTTATAAGCTACTTATACAATATAAGTAACACCATTAACTATAATAAAATAAGGCTATGAATGGCAAAATGATTCATTTTTGTTTGAGTTGCCCAAATTCATCCCCACTTAAATATGGCCTTTAATTCATAAGAGTATGACTCATTATCCTTTTTTTCTAACTATATTGAAGATGAACATTTTCCCCTACGTCTAGAAGCAGGAAGATCATAAATACTACTACTGATTTTTCTTATTGACCAATTTTGCAGACTGAAAATTGAAAAAAAGGACTAGGTACAGGACTTTTTTCTCCATCAAAAGCATGGACGAACTTTACAAACTTTTGAGTTCTGCCATTAACTGCTAAAATGAAAAAGATGTTGAACTGATTTTCCCTCAGCTGGATATCAAGACTTGAACTCAAATCTTCATATATAACATGAGACTATTAAGCCACTGGGCCCTATACTTGGTTTGGGACATTCAGATTGATATGCAGTATTAAAATTTTCTGCATTACTCAATATTTGGAAATTATTCATCCTGGGAAATTATACATCTAGTCTTCATCAGTCTAAGTGTGTTTAGATAATGAAGCTTCTCAAAGGCTTCACTCACTTCAAATGATGTAAAGGAAAAGGCATAGAACTCATAAAGGCATAGCACTGTGATATTGTAAAGGCAGAAAGTGTCTCCATTCTGGAAACTGGTTTTTAAAAAGTAGTAAAAGTGTAAGTACTGTAACACAAGTCAGTCATTGTAAAGGGGAGAGTCTAGAAGACAAAGTAGAAAGAAATGGAGAAAGATCTATTTTTATGTGTCCTTGAAATTTTGCTGGCCACTTTTTGTTTATTTAGAGTAGATGTTCATAACCAAAAGAGCCATTTTTAGTTGCAACACAGCATCACTGGCTGCTCATCAACAGAGAGATGCGAATGCCAAAAAGATTAAAATGAATCACACTACTGACACTGGAAGAGAGTCAATCATCTTGAAAAAAGGTTTTTGAGTTAGGCTCATTTCTTGTTTTCTTTGTACATGGTTCTCTGTTCCTATGCCCTCTCTCCCTTTCCTACCCCTTCTGCCTTCATCCCTCTGAGCTACAAGATTAAAAACCATCAATTGCTACAGTTTTGGTCAGTCATGTCTCCACATAACTTGAAAGCAAATATTCTTTGGATGTTCTCTGTGATTGCCTATCCAACATATTTCCATTATGGCTTGACAAGCAAGTAATTGAATATTATTTCTCCTTTGACTTCATTATAGCCAGTGAAAGTAAACACTTCTTCCTACATACTTGAAATAGAATCAATGGCTGGTCTTGTTATCTAAAAGCAAAACAAGACAAAAAAGTTCTCCAATGATTATGTTAGATACCTATACATTGTACTATGATAGTGGACATTCTGAGGGTAAATTATTGATGCAGTATAAGAAGTCTCAGAAAGATGTTAAGGGACTCCCAATTATATAACTTTAATGATTCACTGACAAAAACAGTTATGTTAGGCATAATGCAGGGATCATGAAATCATGAAATCTCAAAGTGCATCTGCAACATCCCGAAGACCTGATAGCCAATCATCTCTCAAGGATTTTAATCATGGATGAAAATAACATTTCTAGTATCACTTTAAATTTTTTCTATTAAAGTGTGTTATTAGAATTGCCCTTTAAAGAACTTTTTTTCAGATCTAATGCCAATACTACAGCATATTAATTATTATTCCAAATTCTGTATAATATCTTGATTTGATACACATACTATCCATGCCTTCATATAAAACTGCACAGAACTGTTTTACACACACACACACACACACACACACACACACACACACACAGCACACATAGAACCCATGGCTAAGGAGAGCTTCTTCAGGAACTCTATTAGAAACTTTTTTCCTAGTTGACATTAACCTATGGATGACTACTCTTTGCGTTCAGTCATTTAACTGGTTTCAAATCCACCTAAGTATTTTGCCCACATCTCTCTCTCTCTCTTTTATCGACATGCATGGCAAGAGATATTTGTTCAGTGTTTTAATATATTCTTAGTAAACTAGCTTTCCCCTCATTTACCAATTACACTGTGAAGAAAAAAAAAGATAATGAGATTAATTTGGCACTGCTGAAGTCATTCTTGTTCTCAAGGATCATTGTTTCCTCTTCTCTATGCCCACAAGCTAGTCTTTTAAGAACATCTTTTAGAACTTTGTAACAGATCGAAGTTTACCTTACAAGTTGCTTCCAAATTCTACTATGTTCGCAATTTATTATTATTTTTAAATTGACACTCAACTGATATTTTCCAGTCCTTCAGTACATCTCTCCCATTCTCTTCATCTTTCAAAGACCCCTGGAGGTTGCGTATCAGTGACATCTGCTTATTTCTTTAGAACTCTGTGATTTCTCTGGGACTGGTTGACAAATTCAAAGAGAACAAGTTGTTATATTACTATTTCCTTACTCATATTGCATTTCCACTTCTTGTTTATGATTTTTGTCATATCCAATCCAACTGTCATTTTCCTGTGCAGATAAACTACAACCAAAATAAAAGTTGAACAATTATGTATTACATAATAAATAGTACCAACAATCAAAAGAGCAACAATAACAACTTACATTTACAATGCTTTAAGATTTTCAACATGCTTTATAAATATTGTTTCATTTTATCTTCACAACAAACATTAGATGTATGTGCTTTTATTATTCTTATTTTATAGATGAAGAAACTGAAGCATAAAGAAGTTAAGGAATTTGCCCAAGTCTAGAAAATTTCTAAAGCCAGATTGGAATTCAAGTTCTCCTGATTCCAGGTCTAGCACTGTATTGTGCCACCTACATGCCTTCTCTTAATTTCTTTTTTTATATTCCTTTCCACTCTTGTTAGCAGTCCTTTTCTTCTTTGCCCCTTTGAAATTTCTCAATGTAGTTTGAAATATCATTTTCCATAACATTTTTCACTATCCTAAAATAAATCTGAGACTTTGAACTGTATACTTTATTCTTATACCATGGTGTGTTTTACTTTGCATCATTTATTATCTACATTTGTTCTCATCTACTTTATATTTCTCCAATATAGTTTTATTTTTTTAAGTCATTGAGTAGGTATATTCTGCTTTGATAATTTACTTTTGTTTTCTTCTTGGATTTTTCTTTTGTTTTCTTATTTCTTTAGAATTTCATTTTGGGAGTTATTTATCCCATTATGGTCAATTTTCCCTGAAGAATATAGGCTATAGGGTCTTATTTATTCTTTTGCTAAAGGCTGTGAAATCAGATATCTAAAGTGTAGAGTGTATGTTAGATTATGCTCAATTGTCTTCTTTCTGTATAGTGAACTCTACATGCTAGTAGTTGCCTCCCATTCACCTTTAAAAAAAATCCTTTAATTTCTCCTTCAGCAATAAATTCACTTTTGTTGGTCAGAAATGGGTTCAGAATTCCAGTTCCAGTGATTACTTCTACCAACCTTCAAAAGACGAAATTATCATTTCAGAAATTATCCTATTGATAGTCATAGCACTCTCCCAGATGTCCAGATAATTGAAGTTCACCATCACTGTTAGATACATTTCTATCATGCTAACATGAGAAATTTGCAGGTTTTGTAAATGTCAGGCTTGTTAGTCACCCAAGTCTCCTGCTCTTGCTAATCTGATATCACATTTTAAAAGTAATTAAATTCTACAAATCTCAGAACCCATTTATTATTCATTATTTTTCCCAAAGGCTTCCTGTAGATGGAAATAAATTAGATGAGAATATACTTTTATTTATTTTATTTAAATAATTTTCATTCTTTATACTCACTAAACAGTGTTACTTTTTTGGTAAAATATTAATGTTAAATTGGCAGTTGTGATAGTACATATTTCTATGAAAAATAAAATTATCTACATCTCATCTTTCTGGCAAGTCCTTATTTTTATTGTTTAAAATTAAATGAAATTAAAAAAACTAATTAGAGGAGAATAAGCAGATGATGTTATAGTGGAACTTATAGCTATATAGTTAATTTCTCCTCAGATTGTGAGCCAACTCTGATTTATCAATCTTCATATATTTACGCTAGTGATAATTTTAATCTGCAGCAAAATGAGAGATAGGAGAAAGGAATAAATTTTTATTAAATGAAGACTTATGTTACAGGCACCGTGCTAAGCCTTCTACAAATATTGTCTCAATAGCTCCTCACAACAAATCTGTGAAAAAGTGCTATTATTATCCCCATTTTACTGTTGAGGACACTGAGACAAAGAGAGTTTAATGCCCAGGATCATACAGCTAGTAAGTGTTTGAGGCCAGATTTGAATACAAAGCTTCCTGGCTATATGCCCAGTGTTCTATCCACTACCCCACCTACCTGCTTTAAAATAAATGTTTAAAAATGTAATGGACACAAACTGGGATGAATTGCAAGCAGCATTGGTGGAGAATGTACCCAAATGGAGGAGATCATGGAACAATTTTTAGTATTGAATTATGCAGAAACCCCAGGTAGCAAGTACAAGAAGAAAAATATAATGAAATGACAGATCTATAGTGAAAACTGTAATTATTTGAATACATCGAAATTGAGAAAACTTGGGAAAAAAAGTGGTCATGGCTTGTTGAAAACCATTTTCATCAGCTTCCCAAACTCTGGACATAATGACAAAAAGTATACTCTATTTCAGCACCATGGTGTGAATGTTGGCAAGATGATGGGACTGTAATTTAAAATAGGTCACATTAGCCAGTCAGCACCAGCGCTGAATTGTACATTTAATTCCAGTAAATGCTCTCAAGAAAGGATATGGAATGAGCTCTTAGATGAAGTGAACATGTAGTCACTTCAAGTAGCCTACGTATCATCAACATCAGCATCAACAGTATGATTGGCTTCATCATCATCATCATCGTCATCGTGGATATTTCTATAATGCTTTATGGTCAACACAAATTTTAACATCCATCATCTCACTGATTCCTTACAACAGTCCTATGAAGTGGTTAATACAAGAACTAGTCTCATTTTTCAGATAAGATTACAGATGAACAGAGATACTAGATGACTTGATATAGGCCACATAGTAAAGAAAAGAGGTGAGTCTGGAGTAAAATTCAGACCTCGCTTTCAGTCCTGGATGCTCTCTACTTACATCCCAGCTGTCCTTTCCATTATGAAGAAAATCCTTAGGTACCTCTTAAAAAACTCCAAATCGCATTATATTTTTACTGCATTATTGAAAGTTGTGAGAAGTTTCTTACAAAGGAAAAGTATCTGGAATTGAGTAATTCATCTTGTTCAATAATATTAATAAATACTTATACACATATCTTGCACATGGAATCGTCATATGTCCTTCAATATTATAAATGAGCTAGAAAATAACCATTTTAGGGGCCTTTCCAGTTTCATATTGTACAAGCAGGTAACTGGAAGGTTCTTGCGAGTTTCACAACTTGCTTATGCTATGACAATATATGACTAAACTTATCTTTGTGTTTCAGTTGTTCTCAGGTCCCTATTTGCTGAGACTGGGGAAAATCACAAACAGTGGTAAATAAAATTATGCTCTTCCTTATGGTAGTAATTTCCCCCAAACAAGCACATCTGTTATTCAAAGTTAGCTGCCAAGGAGAAAATATCAGTTATTGAAACACATATGGGAACATAAAACCTTATCTAGGAAAGTAATTTGTTAAACTTAATTCAATTAGTGGACCTAAGGAAAGCTGAGAACAAGTCATACTATGGAATTTGAAGGTTTCTTACCTATCACTGGAATAGACATCAGAAGATAGTTGTTCATTAAAGTAATGGGCTTTTTTTTTTTTTGGTGAGGGCAATTGGGGTTAAGTGACTTGCCCAGGCTCACACAGCTAATGAGTGTTATGTGTCTGAGGCCTGATTTGAACTCAGGTCCACCTGACTCCAGGGCTGGTGGTCTATCCACTGCGCCACCTAGCTGTCCCAGTAATGGACTTTTTTAAAATAAATGTGGTTAATCTTGCAAAAAGAATAAAGCTTTGTACCTGGAAGTTCATAGCCAGTGTTTGTGGGAGGAAAATTAACTGAGGGGGGAAAAGATGAGAGTAAAATGAAGGGGAAAGAAGGAAGGAAAGGAGGGAGGGAGGAAGAGAAGAAGAGAGGAAAGAAGTAAGGATAGAAGGAGAAAAAGAAGACAAATCTAAATATTCAATCAAAATAAATGTTGCTATGAAAAAAGATCCTTTTAGCTCGTATAACCCTAGTTAGAAGTGACTTTTGAATTAATTTAATCTAACCTGTTTCCTTATTCATTAATCACATTTACAGCATCTCTGACAAATGCTTATCCAGGTTACTTAAAGAATCAGAAAGTTAGAAGGAACTTTAGTGGCCATTTACGTACACTGAATTTAGAAAAAAAAATTCTACAAAATACATGGTAAGTGGTCATTTAGCCTTGCCAAAAAAACTCAAATGAGAGTTTACCGACATTTTTCCTAGGCAGTCCTTTCTGCTTTTGGATGTCTAATGGTTAGGAAGGTATCATTATGACAAACTGAAATCTGCTTCCTTGCATATTCTGTCTCTAGTTCTGCCCTGTGAAGCCAAACAGAATGAGCCTAATTCCTCTTCCATGTGACAGCTCTTTAAAACTAAATCTTGAACAATTTCAATGATAGTGAAATCATTACCTAATGAGGCAGGTCATTCTATTGTATTTCCCCTCTAATTGTGAGAATGTTATTCTTTATATTGAACAGGTCTGCCTCACTGTCAATTCCACTAATTGGTTCTAGTTTCCCCACTGGGACAAAGAACAACACAGAAGAACAGTGTTCTGCAACTTAAAATGAGAACTTTGGTGTAAAACTTCATTATTTTACTCTTAGCTTAATCTGCTTCCAATTTACACAAAGATATAAAAGGTTCTTGAAAGAGGTACCCTCCCCATTACATCTAACTGCATCAATTATTGTACATTTGACATAAATGAAACATTTTCCTAGGAAGTCCTTTGACCGGATATGAAGTGGAGTAGTGATTTCTGCCCCCAAAGAGCTCATAGCCTGTTAGGCCCATTATTTATGTGTGTGTCTATGTGTCTGTGTATGTCTTTGTGTATGTAGGTATGTATGTGTGTGTGTATACACACACACACACACATACACACATACACACATATATATACATACACAGATATATATACACATACATATATACACATACATGTATATATACATATGTAAGTACACATACACATATATACATACACACATATACACATATATACATACACACCCATATATATCCACATACATACACATATATGTGTATGTATACACATACATACACATGTATGTACTTACATATGTATATATACATGTATGTGTATATATGTATGTGTATATATCTGTGTCTGTGTATGTCTTT